TGATCCTCCATGTCAACCTTGGGATACCACACCGAGGTTGGCTTCACCAAGAATACCTGGGCGACCGTCGCGCACCTCGCAATACTCCGTCGCCCGTGTAACTTGGTTAACCGGGCAACCAGGACGCTCAGGTTGGCGTACTGACGCCCAGGCCGGCGTCCAGGCGCCCAGGCTGGCGTCCAGGACGCCCAAGTCGGCGTCCAGACGCCCAGGCCGGCGTCCAGAACGCCCACGTCGGCGTCCAGACGCCCAAGACGCCGTCCAGGCGCCCAGGGCGGCGTCCAAGTGCCCAGGACGCCATCCAGACGCCCAGGCCGGCGTCCAGGCGCCCAGGACGGCGTCCCCTAGTACAGTAGGTCGGTTGCGCTCCCCGCACACCCGACAACGAAGTCGGCTCCCCCTAAGCGAGGATGGGGCCAACACACAAAAAGGCTTTTGATCCCATCTCGCGCGGATATCTCTTCCGAACGTTACGGTCGATGGGGTTTCCGGACCGATTTGTAAGCTCGGTGGAAGGCCTGCACAAGGGGACGCATATAAGACTTTTAGTAAATGGCTGGATCGGAGAAGGTGTGGAGGTGGTGTCCGGGGTCAGACAAGGCTGCCCTCTTACTCCATACCTCATTGTGTGTGCAATCGAGCTGCTGGCGCAGACGGTTATCAAACAAAATATGGGAATCAGCAAGGTGGGGGAGCGGCTGGCGTATATCGGGTACAAATAAGACACCACTCTGACCCTGGAGGGCAAAAACCAGATTTTCGGATCTGCTTGCAAAATTCGAGTTGACGTCCAGGCCGGCGACGAACCGTGAGAAGTTGGTTATCTTACCGCTAGGGAATAACCTAGGCAGGACGACCGGTCGGATGCACAGCTTCAGGTGGGCGAAAGGAGACGAAGCAGAAAGGTTACTCGGGGCATGGGTGACTCCTTCAAGAAGTTGCCAGCCAACATGGGAAGAAACTGCAAAGGATATAACGAGGAAGGTTAAGAAGTGGCAGCATAAATACCTCCTGACAGCGGCAAGAACGGCGGTGGTTAACAGCTACACTATGCCAAAAGCGCCGTTCCAGGCGCAGGTTTACCCACCCCCGGCAGGACTATGAGGCCCGATTTCCAAGATCTTTCACCACTTTGTTGTATCTGGGAACAGGGTTCCGGAAGGCAGGGGCTTCATGCTATGGAGCAGGGAACTATTACATACGCTAAGGGAGTTGGGTGGTGTGGGAGTTAGGTGGTGTGGGAGTGCAGACATCAAACTTGGCTGGCTCCCATCGGATATGTCGCTCTGTTGGGCGCAACCTCACTAACATCCATATATTTGAGAACGAAGGGATTTCGCCACTGAAGTGATTGAAGCTGTTGTGGAAAGAGGGGCAAAAACCATCTGCGAAGCAGCTGAAGTGGAAAGGCATGTGGAACGGGCACATCAACTGGAAGATTACCATTGCCATTTGCGATTCCCTACCTACACCGAGCAAGCTGAGGGACGTTTCGCTCCGAATATACAACTCAAACCTGCAAGTGGGCGAGCGGGTGTCGTTTCTTAGCAGCAAGCCGGCCTGCCTGCATTGTGGAGGCTGTGAAACCCTCGAACACTCACTGCCTCTACTGTTGTCCGAAGATTCAAGTGGTGACTTCGGCGCTCAAGAAAACCCTCCGCATGCTCAATGCTTCGCGTGTGATGTTCTCTCTGGGGGACCTGTTGTTTTGGAGGGCACAACATTTCCGGAGGCCACGATTATGTCCACCACACTTCATCAGCTTTGGTTGGAGCGTTGTGATGCTCCCTTAAGGGGCAAGAATTCCGGGCGAGGCGGGTGCTCCGACAGATCAAAAGTGCTTTCCGGTTGCATGCAAGGATTTATACGAGGACGAGGGAAGCAGAGTGGAGAAAGCGCAAGGGCATGGGGTAGGAGGAGAAAATTTGCTGCATGGTGGAGGAAGTGAACAAATTACTGTTTCGAATCAAGGACAAGAAGAGCAAGTCTTGGACGTGGACGAACGCCTCCACATTTGTCTGGCTCTCCACGAGGATAAAACACGGATCTCCTTAGATTCCGTACCTGGGGCAGCCACGTGGTCGCCCCTCATGCACAGTCATGACTGTTATTGTCTATGTATGCTCGCTATATCGATGTACATATCAATTACCTAAAAAAAAAAAACAATGAGCAAAGGCATCAGCAACATGTTAAAGCCCGAGTACATGATGTCTATTTCCAAGTTCATGATTCGTGAACTTGAAATTGCCATAAACAGGGTAATCTACTTTGGTTTGAAAAACCCCTCTCTATCCTTGGGCCTTGTTCGGTAGGCAGACAAGTCTGACTGCGGATTGGTATAGGCAGCTTCCTGAGGCCAAATGTGAGCACGTTAAAGCCCCTAAAACCATTACATGCACACCAAACCTAGCCAGTACGACTTGGCTACCGAACGATTAATTTTGCAACTTGTACTGGGTGCAATTCAGATGAGGAAGTTGTGGAGGACATTTCCTCCCTATGCAGATCTGTGAGGATTGACGAACTGGTTCAGAATGAACTGATTGATCACATGGGTACAACACGAGGGTATATAAAGTATCGACACAAGGCAAGGTAACCATGTGTTACGTGAAGGTTCCGAGTGCAAAGCGTCCTCTGTCCGTCGGGGGTGAGTCTACCCTTGGCTATGACGTCATAGAGGACAGGCAGTTTGAGCTGGAGTTCTTAGCAGTCGCTTCCCCGTCTCTCTGCGCCATGCTGCTTTCCCTTGAGGGAGATCCCGACGCCCTTAACATACCGACACCTCGCACGTATCGTGAGGCAGTGTCAGGGGAGTGGGCCTCTCAGCAGAAAGCGGCTATGGATGCAGAGCTAGCGTCTTGGAGATCCACATGCACGTACGTCGACGCAGTTCCCCCTCCCAGGACGAACGTTGTCGATGGCATGTGGCTCTTCAAAGTGAAGCGGCCACCTGGTTCACCGCCTGTGTTCAAGGCGCGCTATGTGGCTAGGGGTTTCACTCAGCGTGAGGGAGTTGACTTCTTCCAGACCTTCGCCTCGACCCCGAAAATGACTACTCTTCGGGTGTTACTGCATGTAGCAGCACAGCGAGACTACGAGCTGCACTCCCTTGACTTCTCTACTGCATTTCTCCAGGGCCGTCTACATGAGGAGATCTGGCTGCGCCGTCCTCCTGGCTTCACTGACACCTTCCCACCTGAGATCCAGTGGAGCCTGAGGCGGCCAGTCCTCGGTCTCCGCAGTCGCCCTGTGAGTGGCACGACACTTTTCGCTCCACGCTTCGTAACCTTGGGTTTCGTCCTTCCTCTGCCGACATGTAGTTGTTTGTTCACACTGGTTCCACTCATTTCTTTCTACTAGTGTACGTCGACAACTTGGTCTTTGCTACAGCAGAAGGGCAGCTCTGGCTGAGGTGAAATCCGAACTGCAGAAGAGACACAAGTGCACTGACCTCGGTGAACTGCAGCGCTACCTTGGCCTGCAGATCACCAGGGACAGAGCCGCTCGCACCATCACACTGACTCAGTCATACATGGTGCAGCAGGTCCTTCGGAGGTTCGGGTTTCAGTTCTCCACCATACAGCCCACTCCTCTTGCCATTGACCACCGACTCACTGGCCCTTTTCCCGACGAGCCATTTGAGTCTAGTGGCCCCTGCGCAGAGCTTATGGGCTACCTCATGTACCTGATGACTTGTACTCGGCCGGACCTCGCCTTTCCCCTCAGCGTCCTCTCTCGCTTTGTTGCGACTGGGAGACACCGTTCTCTTCACTGGACAGCTGCTGTGAGGGTGGCGAAGTACCTGACGACTACATTAGTGATGGGGCTTGTGCTTGGAGGGACTCAGCCAGTTGTGTTGACTGGTCACTGCGACTCTCCCTACGCTGACTACGTGGAGACCCAGCGTTCGACTCAGGGTTACTATTTCAGTCTGGGTGCTGGTGCTGTGTCGTGGAGGTCTACACGGTCGTCATCTGTGGCTTTTTCCAGTGCAGAGGCAGAGATCTACTCTGGTGCCATGGCGGCACAGGAGCTTCGCTGGTTGACCTTCTTGCTCGCCGACCTTGGTGAGCGGCCTCGCTCCGCACCGACCTTGTACGCTGACAACAAGGCCATGATCCTCCTGTGTCGAGAGCCTCGACTGGAGAGCAGAGTGAAGCATATTGACGTGAGGTACTTCCTCCTGCGAGAGTTGCAGCGACGTGGCCAGGCACGCTTGGACTTTGTGGCCTCAGAGGCCAACACTGCCGACGTCTTCACCAAGGCCTTGGCGCCTGGTGAGCTCCATAAGTTCTGTGTGTTTCTGGGGCTTGTTGAGGTAGGCCCCCGACTGCTGTAGCCTTGTTGTTTGCTCTGCTTGTTTTGCTTTTCTATATATCCTAGTGAACTCTTAAACTGGCCTTATAGCCGCTTGCTTTGTGCTCGGAATTTGTGTGGTGTCCTTGAGATCCACCCTGAGCTTGCTTTGCTTCTTGTCTTGACTAGTCTTGTGACCGACTGTTCACCCTGATTGCTTTGATGCCCCTCACTTACCCTATGGGGGTGTGTCAAATGTTGAACATTGTTATGATAGGCTGTAGTGAGTAGCACTGTAGAGAGTACAACACTTTCTAGTTTTGCTATTTATATCACTCACTTTCCTAGTTCATGCATTTCCGTTGCATTCTATTTCTGAGAGGTCGGAACAAATTTATGGTTCCAACATGATACGTAATTGGTTTCACTTTAGGATATCTCATTCACGGGTGATTTTTTTTTTTCACTACTTGAGGCATTCTCTCTAACACGGTGCCACAAAGTTGTTCAAGAGGGTGCTCCAAAGAGTGCTTGGAAAAGCACTCTTGAAATGAATCCTGGTCTAGGTTTGCTACGCAACCCCAAAACTGCCATTCATTTAAACGGGACCCGCCCTAACTGTGACCGGCAAGGACACCGTTAGTGAGTCTATTTTTATAAGGCACATCACACCACATCACTCGCCTGCCCAGGAAGCCATGACTTCCGCTCTCCGCTCATCCGCGCGTCACCTGCGCTCCGCCCTCACCACCACCGCCTCCGCATTCGCCGCCGGCCCCGCAATCCCCCGCGCGCCGTGCATCGCCGGCTCTCTCGAGTCTGCCGCGTCGCTGCCGCGCGTCCCCCAAAACCCCGCACGGCCCTTCTCCCTTGCGCCCCCTTCTCACGCGTCGCCGCCTCTGCCAGCATCGCCAGCAGCATCAGACCTCCTCGCTCGCTTTCAACTCGTGTCATGCGCGCCGCGCTTTTCGATATCGGCGCAAGGCGCGCCGACCGTTGATCGGATCGCAGGCGCAGGCAGATCAGCTCCGCAGGTCTCCCAGCCGTCGATCTCCCGATCACCCCTGCCACGAAGCTTCGGCACGTTTTCGGCCCAGAGGCAGCGACTCAACACCCTCGCCGCGTTCCCGCGTGCGCTTGCCGCCGGTCCCGTACCCTCCCCCGCCTCCGCTGCGCCGTCGCTGCGCGCGCACGACGCAGTGGTTGCGGCGCGGGCGGCGGGCGCGGGGCAGGCGAGGGGCGTGTTCGTTGAGGTGAAGAAGGGCGACGTGGATCGCGCAATCAAGAAGTGAGTGGCGGGGGAGGAGGGACGGGCAAGGGTGGGCATGAAGAATCGAGTTAGTGAGGCATGGAGAAGTGAGAGATGCATTCAGAAGTGAGAGATGCGTTTAAAAGCGAGACAGGCATCAAGGAGTGAGTGACTGCGCAAGATGAGTGAGTGAGCAAGAAGTGAGTGGTGGGATGGGGGAAGGGGGAGAGCGTGGCCATGAGGAAGTGAGCCATGGGGGAGCGGGGAGAGGGAAAGGGGGGTGGGGGAAGTCGCGCATTGGCTTCCGTCCATGCTCTCACCACCCCATGCTTTAACCCACCCATGCTCTCACGCACGCTTGGGAACAGCCTTGGGGAACGGTCTTTTCATTCAAACACGGCACTGCAGCCTAGAAAGGCCTTTGGGAAGAGCACCAGCGAGCAGGTGAGGGAACATGTCATGTGTGAGCAGGTGTTAAAGTCGTGGGGCTCTCTCCACTGCGCTAGACCACACCCAACCGCACTCGACCTCACCCTACTGCGCTAGACCGCACCCACCCTTCACCCGTGCCTGCGGTCGCTCACACGCCTCCTGCCATAGGCGTTCCTCGCAGCGGCTGGCAGCCGCAGTTGCCTCTCCTTCCCGACCACAACCTAGGTTTCACCTCTAGTTGTTCTGACCTAGTGCCCCTAGGCTACTCCTTCTGGCCCCGTTCGTTACTCGCTTCGCCGGTTTCTAGCTTGCTGGTTCAAGGTAGTAGTGACGGCGGACAGCGCCATACGTGTGTGACGGCGGACAGCGCCATACGTGTGTGACGGCGGACAGCGCCATACGTGTGGCGTGGCAAGGAAGGACTACACTCTCATCTCATTCCCTTGTCGCCCTCCCCGTTTTTCCTCCCCTTCTTCCCTCTCTGCCCGTTTCTCAACCCCTCCCCTTGGCAGGTTCAAGATAAAGCTGAGGGCAAGGGCAAACCTTTTTCCCCTTGTTCTTTCCCCCCTCCTCTCCCCCTTGTTTACGGATTCAAGATCAAGCTCAGGAGGGCCGGAGCTGAAGCGCCTGCCCGCCCGCCAAGGAGGCGGAAATCACTCTCCTTTTCTGCTCGCTCCTCTCCCCTCTTCCCTTTTTACCGGTTCAAGATCACGCTCAGGACGGACGGTGCGATAAGGGTGGCTCGGGCGAGGTCGCATTTCTGGAAGGGCGCAGAGCTGAAGCGCCTGCGCTCCCCCCTCTCCCCCGCCGCGGCCACCCCCTCTTTGCAGGTTCAAGATAAAGTTACGAACGGACAATGCTATTCGGGTGGCTCGTGCGCGATCGCACCACTGGAAGGGCGCGGAGCTGAAGCGGCTGCGCGGCAAGGAGGCGGAGATCAGGCGGCAGCAGCAAGACTTCCGGCAGAAGCTCGCCTGGATCATGGCCAAACGCGCCAGGTGCGTGGGATGAGGATGGGTAGGGACCATACCATGGCTTGACGTGGGGCAGGCAGGGTCCTGGGGATGGTGAGGCGGCAGCAGCAAGACTTCCGCCAGAGGCTCGCCTGGATCATGGCCAAACGCGCCAGGTGCGTGGGATGTGATGCTAGATGGGTGGGATGTGATGCTAGGTGGGTGGGATGTGATGCTAGGTGGGTGGGATGTGATGCTAGGTGGGTGGGATGTGATGCTAGGTGGGTGGGATGTGATGCTAGGTGGGTGGGATGTGATGCTAGGTGGGTGGCATGTTATGCTAGGTGGGTGGGATGTGATGCTAGGTGGGTGGGATGTGATGCTAGGTGGGTGGGATGTGATGCTAGGTGGGTGGGATGTGATGCTAGGTGGGTGGCATGTGATGCTAGGTGGGTGGGATGTGATGCTAGGTGGGTGGGATGTGATGCTAGGTGGATGGGATGTGATGCTAGGTGGGTGGGATGTGATGCTAGGTGGGTGGCATGTGATGCTAGGTGGGTGGCATGTGATGCTAGGTGGGTGGGATGTGATGGTAGGTGGGTGGCATGTGATGCTAGGTGGGTGGCATGTGATGCTAGGTGGGTGGGATGTGATGCTAGGTGGGTGGCATGTGATGCTAGGTGGGTGGCATGTGATGCTAGGTGGGTGGGATGTGATGCTAGGTGGGTGGGATGTGATGCTAGGTGGATGGGATGTGATGCTAGGTGGGTGGGATGTGATGCTAGGTGGGTGGCATGTGATGCTAGGTGGGTGGCATGTGATGCTAGGTGGGTGGGATGTGATGGTAGGTGGGTGGCATGTGATGCTAGGTGGGTGGCATGTGATGCTAGGTGGGTGGGATGTGATGCTAGGTGGGTGGGATGTGATGCTAGGTGGGTGGGATGTGATGCTAGGTGGGTGGCATGTTATGCTAGGTGGGTGGGATGTGATGCTAGGTGGGTGGGATGTGATGCTAGGTGGGTGGGATGTGATGCTAGGTGGATGGGATGTGATGCTAGGTGGGTGGGATGTGATGCTAGGTGGGTGGGATGTGATGCTAGGTGGGTGGGATGTGATGCTAGGTGGGTGGGATGTGATGCTAGGTGGATGGGATGTGATGCTAGGTGGGTGGGATGTGATGCTAGGTGGGTGGCATGTGATGCTAGGTGGGTGGCATGTGATGCTAGGTGGGTGGGATGTGATGGTAGGTGGGTGGCATGTGATGCTAGGTGGGTGGCATGTGATGCTAGGTGGGTGGGATGTGATGCTAGGTGGGTGGCATGTGATGCTAGGTGGGTGGGATGTGATGCTAGGTGGGTGGCATGTTATGCTAGGTGGGTGGGATGTGATGCTAGGTGGGTGGGATGTGATGCTAGGTGGGTGGCATGTTATGCTAGGTGGGTGGGATGTGATGCTAGGTGGGTGGGATGTGATGCTAGGTGGGTGGGATGTGATGCTAGGTGGGTGGCATGTGATGCTAGGTGGGTGGGATGTGATGCTAGGTGGGTGGCATGTGATGCTAGGTGGGTGGGATGTGATGCTAGGTGGGTGGGATGTGATGCTAGGTGGGTGGGATGTGATGCTAGGTGGGTGGCATGTGATGCTAGGTGGGTGGGATGTGATGCTAGGTGGGTGGGATGTGATGCTAGGTGGGTGGCATGTGATGCTAGGTGGGTGGCATGTGATGCTAGGTGGGTGGGATGTGATGCTAGGTGGGTGGGATGTGATGCTAGGTGGGTGGCATGTGATGCTAGGTGGGTGGGATGTGATTCTAGGTGGGTGGGATGTGATGCTAGGTGGGTGGGATGTGATGCTAGGTGGGTGGGATGTGATGCTAGGTGGATGGGATGTGATGCTAGGTGGGTGGGATGTGATGCTAGGTGGGTGGCATGTGATGCTAGGTGGGTGGCATGTGATGCTAGGTGGGTGGGATGTGATGGTAGGTGGGTGGCATGTGATGCTAGGTGGGTGGCATGTGATGCTAGGTGGGTGGGATGTGATGCTAGGTGGGTGGGATGTGATGCTAGGTGGGTGGGATGTGATGCTAGGTGGGTGGCATGTGATGCTAGGTGGGTCGGATGTGATGCTAGGTGGGTGGGATGTGATGCTAGGTGGGTGGGATGTGATGCTAGGTGGGTGGCATGTGATGCTAGGTGGGTGGGATGTGATGCTAGGTGGGTGGGATGTGATGCTAGGTGGGTGGCATGTGATGCTAGGTGGGTGGGATGTGATGGTAGGTGGGTGGCATGTGATGCTAGGTGGGTGGCATGTGATGCTAGGTGGGTGGGATGTGATGCTAGGTGGGTGGGATGTGATGCTAGGTGGGTGGGATGTGATGCTAGGTGGGTGGCATGTTATGCTAGGTGGGTGGGATGTGATGCTAGGTGGGTGGGATGTGATGCTAGGTGGGTGGGATGTGATGCTAGGTGGGTGGGATGTGATGCTAGGTGGGTGGGATGTGATGCTAGGTGGGTGGGATGTGATGCTAGGTGGATGGGATGTGATGCTAGGTGGGTGGGATGTGATGCTAGGTGGGTGGCATGTGATGCTAGGTGGGTGGCATGTGATGCTAGGTGGGTGGGATGTGATGGTAGGTGGGTGGCATGTGATGCTAGGTGGGTGGCATGTGATGCTAGGTGGGTGGGATGTGATGCTAGGTGGGTGGCATGTGATGCTAGGTGGGTGGGATGTGATGCTAGGTGGGTGGCATGTTATGCTAGGTGGGTGGGATGTGATGCTAGGTGGGTGGGATGTGATGCTAGGTGGGTGGGATGTGATGCTAGGTGGGTGGCATGTGATGCTAGGTGGGTGGGATGTGATGCTAGGTGGGTGGGATGTGATGCTAGGTGGATGGGATGTGATGCTAGGTGGGTGGGATGTGATGGTAGGTGGGTGGCATGTGATGCTAGGTGGGTGGGATGTGATGCTAGGTGGGTGGGATGTGATGCTAGGTGGGTGGGATGTGATGCTAGGTGGGTGGCATGTGATGCTAGGTGGGTGGGATGTGATGCTAGGTGGGTGGGATGTGATGCTAGGTGGGTGGCATGTGATGCTAGGTGGGTAGGATGTGATGCTAGGTGGGTGGGATGTGATGCTAGGTGGGTGGCATGTGATGCTAGGTGGGTGGGATCTTGGGCAGGCGTTCAAGGTACGGTGGGATGAGGAGGGATGTGGGCAAGCTTCCAGATGGGGTAGTGTGCTGGGGAGAGAGTGCAGCAGTGAGCATGGATGCATGGGGAAGGAGGGTCATGGCTCTTTGCGGGTGGGATCATGGGCTCATGCTTGGAGTGGTATGGGCAGTCCCTCCAGGTATGGGCAGTCCCTCCAGGTATGGGCAGTCCCTCCAGGTATGGGCAGTCCCTCCAGGTATGGGCAGTCCCTCCAGGTATGGGCAGTCCCTCCAGGTATGGGCAATCTCTGCAGGTATGGGCAATCCCTGCAGGTATGGGCAATTTCTGCAGGTATGGGCAATCATTGCAGGCATGGGCAAGCGAGTGGGATGATGGGATGTGGGGTGATGCATGGGATGGGTGAGCTGTGCATGTGGGATGTGGTGCGATGGGGAGATAATGTACCTCTGACGTTATACAAAGACGAACGCTTTTTGCCATCTGAATGAGTGTTTTCTATCAGGAATATCGTGCCTTTTACTGAAGCGCACAACTTTTTCGCATCAGCTTGTTCTGTGTATGCTTTTGTTTGGTCTCACTTAACCTCCACATGACTCATCCTTCGTTCTGTGTATACCCAACAGTTGCCTTTTACGAAATCTCTTTCCATGCTTTCATCGCGACCGGAACCAGTACTGATTCATACAATACCCAATTTGCCTTGCATTCCCCATCCTTTTCTATGTTCTGCTCTGAACCTTCTTTTGACGCTGTGCAGGGGATTCTGATGCAAAGGTCACGAAATGTTTCGCACTGCCCTTAACTTCTGGCCACGGTATCTGTCCGAAGGCACAAAAAGTCTAGGATTATCAAAATTCGTACCCAAGTGGTCAACGATACTTCTCCCGTCCATGTGAGGAGGTCTTGAAGATCACATTCACATGGCAACCCACACTAGACTCTCAGATTGGTTTTGGTTTTGGGCCTGGGCTCTAAGAGATCTACTTAGCGACACAAAGGTGTGCCACTCTCGTGTGCCTTTTACAGGGTTTGAAATGTCTGGAGTTAAGCAACCATAGATGTCTGATTGCATGTCATCAGGGCTAATTTTATCAGTGTACATCTCACCTACTAGCTTGAGTAGCGAGAGAATGGTCGATACTAGGTCAAAGGGGAGGGATACAACCAAAGTGTCGAGAAATATTTGTACCCCCTAGCATCGAACTCACTAAGCATATCTAAATCTACAAACATAGTTTGACACACCCCCCATAGGCTAAGTGAAGGGCATCAAAACAGGAATGACACGCATGTGGTCACAAGACCAGTCAAGAACAGAAACACAGCAAGCCCAGGGTGGATCACGAAGTCACCACACATTCTGAGCACAAACAAGAGGCCACAAGGCCAGTTCAAGAGTTCGCAAATTTATATAGAAGTACAGTAAGCAACAATAGACAAGACTACTGTAACCAAGAGCCTACGTCAACAAAGCCTAACTGCAAACAGAACCTGTGGTGGTCACCAGGAGGAAGGGCCTTGGTGAAGATGTCTGCATTGTTGGGCTCTGTGGCCACGAAGTCCAAGCGTGCCTGGCCACGTCGCTGCAACTCTCGCAGGAGAAAGTACCTGACGTCGATGTGCTTCACTCTGCTCTCCAGTCGAGGCTCTCGACACAGGAGGATCATGGCCTTGTTGTCAGCGAACAAGGTCGGTGCAGAGCTCGGCCGCTCACCAAGGTCGGTGAGCAAGAAAGTCAACCAGCGAAGCTCCTGCGCAGCCATGGCACCGGCGTAGATCTCGGCCTCGGCCACAGAAGACGACCGAGTAGACCTCCACGACACAACTCCTGCGCCCAAGCTGAAGCAGTAGCCCTGAGTGGACCTCTGTGTCTCCACGTTGTCGGCGTAGGAAGAGTCGCAGTGACCAGTTAGTACAACTGGCTGTGTCCCTCCAAGCACAAGTCCCATGCCTGATGTAGTTGCCAGGTACTTCGCCACCCTCACAGCAGCTGTCCAGTGAACAGAACGGTGTCTCCTAGTCGCAACAAAGCGAGAGAGGACGCTGAGAGGAAAAGCGAGGTCTGGACGAGTACAAGTCATCAGGTGAATGAGGCAGCCCACAAGCTCTGCGTAGGGACCACTAGATTCAAAAGGCTCGTCGGGAAAAGGGCCGGTGAGTCTGTGGTCAACGGCAAGAGGAGTGGGCTGTGTGGTGGAGTGTTGAAGCCCGAACCGCTGAAGGACCTGCCGCACCATGTGTGACTGTGTGAGTGTGATGGTGCGAGCGGCTCTGTCCCTGGTGATCTGCAAGCCAAGGTAGCGGCGCAGCTCACCAAGGTCACCTGTCTGCTGTAGCAAAGACCAAGTCGTCGACGTAGACGAGGACGAAGAAGGGTGTGGGCCCAGAACGAACGAACAGCGACGGGTCAGCAGACGAAGGACGAAACCCGAGGGCAGCAAGAGTAGTGCGCAGCGTGTCGTGCCACTCACGGGGCGCCTGGCGGAGACTGTACACTGGTCGCCTTAGGCTCCATTGGGTCCCAGGCGGGAAAGTGCCAGTGAAGCCCAAAGGACGACGCAACCAGATCTCCTCGTGCACTCTGCCTTGGAGAAAGGCGATGGAGAAGTCGAGGGAGTGCAGCTCGTAGTCTCGCTGTGTTGCAACGTGTAGTAACACCCGAAGATTCGTCATCTTCGGGGTCGGGGCAAAGGTCTGGAAGAAGTCAACTCCCTTACGCTGACTGAAACCTCTAGCCACGTAGCGCGCCTTGAACACAGGCGGCGATCCAGGCGGCTGCTTCACCTTGAAAATCCACATGCCGTCGACTACGTTCGCCCCAGGTGGGGGAACTGCGTCGACGTAAGTGCCTGTGGATCTCCAAGATGTCATCTCTGACTCCATGGCCGCTATCCACTAAGAAGCCCACTGCCCTGACACTGCCTCACGGTACGTGCGAGGAGTCGGTATGTCAAGGGCGTCGAGGTCTCCCTCAGGAGCTAGCAGCATGGCACAGAGATGGGGAGAAGCGGCCGCCAAATACTCCAGCTCAAACTGCCTGTCCTCTAGGACTTCACAGCCAAGGGCAGACTCACCCCCGGCGGACAGAGGACGGGCAGCTACCACACGGGTGGCGTAGTCAAGGCGACGGGTGGCGGCAAAGTCAGCAACAGCGGCAGTAAGAGCCAAGACAGACGACGGAGGGGCACGAGGGTCCGTGACTAGAGAGGCAAGAACACGAGTGACAACAGGACGGGTGGCACGGTAGTAGTCAGTGATAGGGGTAGACGTGGAGGCTATAAAAGATGACTCAGGAGGTGAAGGGAGAACAGACTGAGGTGGAGAACGACGAGGACTCGAACGAAGCAAGACAGTGCGGAGGTCGGCAAAAGGAGACGAGGGACGTGCACGGGCGGGACAACGCACTGTCCAGTCGTGCGGAACAACACGAGGAGACGACTGTGACTGAGGAGGAGAGAAGACAGCCGGAGAAGAGTCCGGGGGGGGGGAACGTAGGACCGTAAACAGGGGGAGACAGTGAGCGGTCTGGAGGAGAGGAAGGAACTCCAAGGGCACGAAGGCCACTCACAGGTGGAAACAACGGCTGCAAGGGCGGCGCCTGCTGCGACTGCTGCAACAGCTGCTGCTGCTCGTGCTGCTGCAGCTCCTACTGCTGCCGCTCCAGCCCCAGCCTCTCCTGCTCCAACCGCTCCCGCTCCTCGCGCTCCAGCTGACGAAGCCTCTGGAAACTCGTCGGGTAGCGGTGTGGAGGTGGGGTAGACGCCACAGTAGCAGTGCCTCCAGCTCCAGTCTCCTCAGAACTAGCACCTCCAGCTCCAGCACCCCTAGAACTAATGTCCCCAGGACGAGCACCCCCAGAACTAGCACCGCCAGTGCCAGTAGCCCCAGCTCCAGCACCCTCAGAACTAGTACCTCTAGCGCCAACACCCTCAGCTCCACCACCCTCAGAACTAGCACCCCCAGCGTCCGTGCCCCCAACACCAGCACCCCCGGAACCAGCACCTCCAGCGCTAGCACCTCCAGCTCCAGCACCCCCGGAGTCCACAGTAACCTGTCGCGGAAGTGCCGAAGGCTGCTGAGGGGACTGTGAGGACGACTGCGGAGACGCTACCTGACGCGCGACCGAGGTTAGAGGGGTAGCGTGGGACACACCTGATGGGGCAGGACCAGGGGGGGGCGGGGGTATCGGAGGAGCGGGAGCAGGAGGAGGAGGGGGCGAGAACAAAGGGAGGGGGGGGAACCTGGAGACCTCGACAGGGGTACCGGGTGTAGTAGAACACAAACTCGCTAAACCGGACGTCACGAGAGTCAAGGAACCGGTGGATGGGCGGGTGGTACAAGGTGTAGTCAGAGGAGTCCATCGGGGAACCAAAGAAGACACAAGGGATGGCACGGGCCGAGAGCTTGTCCGCAGAGGTGTCGCGGACAAGCGCAAGGCAGCCCCAGACTCGAAACTCTGATGCAACACCAGGGGACCCGGTCCAAAGACTGGTCGGTGAAGCCCCTGGCCGAGAGACACGAGGCCAGAGGTTCAGCTGGTGGGCGGCGTAGCAAACCGCGTAGGGCCACAGAAAATGGGGCGCACGGGCATGGATCATGGAGGTACGGGCAATCTCCATGACCAAGCCTATGCGGCGCTCAGCAACCCCATTCTGCTGTGGGGACTCTTGAAGCGTCCAGGACTGGGTGATGCCCTGCTCGCTACAGAACCCGCGAAGAATGCCGGAGCGAAACTCGCCCCCACGGTCGGAGTGAAGACAACTAACACGACGGCCACGTGTGGTCTTAGTGGCCAGCAACCACCGGATCAGCGTAGAAGTCACGTCGAACTTCTTCGCCAAAGGAAACACGGTGGTGTAGTGGGAGTAGTCATCAACGACCACTAGAAAAAAGCTCTCCCTCTCGGGCCCAGGGCGAGGGGCGGGGCCCCAGACGTCCAAGTGGAGAGTCTGGAAAGGTGCAGTGGCCGGACGAAGGGAGGAGGAGTGAGGAGTGGAGCGCAGCCGACCCTCGACGCAAGGAGTGCACAACGGCGCAGGCGAAGGAGGGAGCAACGCAAAGACACGTGAGAGACCTGAGACAAGACGCTGGCTAGCCATGCTGCGGAGGCGTGGGAGAGACGGGTGACCAAGACGGTGGTGCCACAAGACTGTCGGGTGAGAGAGTGACCGACAAGAGCAAGACGCAGCAACCAGACCGGACACAGCCACCTGGCCGGACACCGCAACCTGAGGGGACGCAACAACCTGAGGGGACGCAGCTACCCGAGAGCGCTCAGTGTGCAGAACGTAGAGACCGGAGCGGGACTCTCTGGTAAACGTGGCAAGAACGACACCGGTGACAGCGTCCGTGCAGACTGCAGTCCTCCCGCCTCCCAGAAAGGTAACTGTGATCCCCCTATCC